GACGTATGAGGTCGGCTTTGCGCATGCGCCGCTCAGAAGTGACGAACGCGGAAGCGAAGGGGAGAGATCAAAACAAAACAACATTCACTAATTAGAAGTACAAAACGAGGATTTGTAAAGAAGAATGTTGAAGGATTTCGATATAAGCCAAGAGGAGACTGGTTTTCCTTTGCTAAAGTAAGGAAATTTTGCTTCCTTTGCTCCTGTTAACAAATGTTGGTTTTCACGAGACTCACCAGCGCATGCGCAACGCCGACCTCATACGTCATCCGCCCAGAACTGCTTCCAGAGTACAACAGTGAGCGCAAGCTAGATTAAAGTGATTATTACGTTTTGAATATGGATATTTTTCTTACAAAAACACATCGATTCGCTACAGAAGGCCTTTGTTCACCCCCCAGAGCCGTGTGCGACACTTTTTTACATTTTTTTTTATGGATGGACACATTTTAATTAAGTGCTTTTGGACTGATGCATGCAACACCCGCTGCGTGCCATTAAACGGCTTGAAAGATCAAAGACAATTTTTAATATAACCCCGACTGGATTCGTCTGAAAGAAGAAAGTCACATACACCTAGGATGACTTGAGGGTGAGTAATTTATGGGCTAATTTTAATTTTTAGGTGAACTAACCCTTTAATGACAGAATTTTCATTTCTGGGTGAACCATCCCTTTAATTAGAGGTTGACTGATTTATTATTTTTGCTGAATAAAAATGCTGTAGGAGCTATTGTAAATGAACAAATTAATGCTGAAACTAGTATTGGGGAAAATCCATTTACAGGAAGTCCTGAAAAGGTGATGTTTAAATACTGTTTGTGTTCAGACTGCAGAGTCAGTATGTCGATGACTGCATGATGTGGGATTTCATGGCTAAGCGTGAGCTGGATGCTGCTGGGGCTCCAGAGCTCCAGTCTGCGAAAGGAAGAGCTTCTGATACAGACCGCAGAGAAGAACGCTGCTGTGTCGTTTATGAAGAGGCTCTAAAGAGCCTTAATACAGGTATCATGATATAACACTAGGATTTAGTGGTGGAATATGATTGGATTCTCATGGTTCTAGCTGTATGTAATTTGCCTACATATGTGTAATTTATTTTTGTAGAGGCCATGTGGACATGTTATGTCACATTCTGTCTTGAGAGATATAAGCGGAAGACAAATGTCAATGAACTCAAGGAAAAGGTAATAAACCTGGGTTTTTTTTTTATTGTGGTGTTGCAGTGTTCATGATAATCTTGATCAGAATAACATGGACTTGCTGTATTTGGGAAGTTTGATTTATTATATTAAACCATATTTACTTTTTTTTCTTTT